GTGTCCGCACGGATTCAAAGCTAATGAAGCGCGCGTGTATCGCTGCACCCCTTACATAACATTAATTCCGCCTACGCTCTTTGAACCTCTGAAATCGTAGCCTGCGGATTTTGACTTATTTCCTTTCTAAAATTCTCATTAATAACTCTTAAATTTCTGTTAATCTCAAGGAGGAAATCAACAGCTTTTCGGATGAAATATTACCCAGAATAGCTTTTCACAAAAAAAGATTTTAATCTTTTGTCGCAGGTCAAAAAATCCCCGAGCAATACCTTTTATTTGAAACTTAGTTTTATGCATTACAGAGTATATCTTCCCGGAAACAGTATAACTTAAGGGGCGTTGGTTTTGTTCTTTTTTACATTGTTAAAAGCAATATGGGGAAGTGATTAGGGTATAAAATAGCCCAGATCGTTTAGCCTAAGGTTACCATTTTCTCCATACAATACCTCGATACAGTAAGTCACGAAAACCAACAATTTTGGAAAATTTGTCGCTTTGACTCGCACGCACCCCAAGAGTTGCTAGTGTTAAGCTGTCCAACGGTCTTTGGAGCTCCGCTACACAGTTTCTTTAAAAGAAACAGAAATTTCCAATGTTTTTGGTGGTATACACTGACATAATATCTAAGTACTCATCACAACGGCCACTGGGAAAAGGCGTCATTAGATTCGATTAAATAGTCACTTTCTTGATCGCATGGATAAATTTTGACGAAGAAAAGAAAATAATAATGAAATAAAAAGTCTCTTGAGGGAAACCTCTTTAACGTTTATTTTTTTTTGCTTGAGAAAATTGTCTAGAAAAAATAAAGCGAGCTAGACCTAGCTAGTAAAAAAACTAGTCTCACGTCTCGAAGTTTTTTTTTTTTTAAATTTGGATCAACTTTAAAATGGCTTTCAGTTTGCAAAGGGCAATTATACATAAGCTGGCGAAACTAGAGAAACTGTATAGAATATTCCTTTATGCTTGACTTCCTGACATCAGGAAATAAATGCTGTTAGTAAATAAGGAAGAAAAGCATTAAAAAATGTTCAGGTAAACTCGAGAGTCAGGTTGACAGTGTGGCTTTAATTCAGTTCTCTAGAGTGAAATCCCCTCATTGCGTAAGTATCTTAATATAAGTTCTCAGGCATTATTTTGAATAAGATTGCAAGCTTGTTGACAAGTTTTTTGTAAATAAAATTTTGTTTGTTGGGCAAAATTCGGATGAGATGGGCTATATATTTCTTGTTGGGTACCTTAATTGCTTTTCGAACTCTACGACTTAAAGTGTAAAATTAAGGAAAAACAACACAGAAACTGAGTTAATAGACAACTTCGTAGTTTTCAGTAAGTATATTTAGTTTTCAGTTCCATGAGATTTACTTCATGATAAAAACAGTAAACCTTGGAAATTTGATTTCAATGCCAGTATTCCCCGCGAGCGGATGTTATATGACTCAGTAAAGTACGACACTAAAAGGCAACAAATTGGTCTCGTCAATATTATTATGATTATTTTGTCTCGGTAGAAAAATATATGGACATATCATATCTTTCTTTCCCTTTCTATAAAGATGTTGGAGAAAGCTGGAAATTTAAAGGTGTAAATGTTTTTTTTGGTCCACGGCGCGACAAAAATTTTTTAGTTGAATGAGAGCTGGTGTTAAGTACCGTAGAATAGTAGTCATTGTAAGGTGCCTCGTGAAAAGTTTCTTTAACAGCTATAGGGAAATCTGTAACATCAGCATTCTAGTCAAAACAGTAGACGACGATCGCCTTTATGCCATTCGCAATACATTTTCCGGTCAGTTTTTGCCAAACACTTGTCATCATTGATGTAAACGAAATTGGTTTAATATGAGGGTCGTTTGAGTTGGTCCCAGAGTTAAGAGGGTTGAGGGAGGGATTCAGGATCTGCGTTGCACACGATTTCAACCAAATTTCAGTCCCATCAGGTGTGCGGTTCTTTTGTTTACAAACAAGGCAGAACTACCAGGAATCACTAGGTCATTGGTAAAACAAAAGCCGGCTATGACAATGGGATCTTAAACTGCGTAGAATGACGCGAAGGGCTTTTGAGGAAAGCTACTCCTCGCTACTTTAGCCTTTTAGTAAAGACATCGTTTAAAAGAGGCTCTTATATAAAGGCCCCGATAAGGACGGTAGACAACTTAAAGTTGATTCTTCTTCATTGCGATGTAATAAAGTGGCATTACACAGTTTTTTTCTAGTTTATTTACTTCTGTTGATGTTGAGAGTATTGCAATATTTTTTGATTCGCAAAGGAAATTGTCCGCGCTTCGTTTGTTTATTGTCACGAAAGAAAACTAACTCAATTGGTTGAAATACAGTAGTCAAAGAACTGCTAAAGCTTTTTAACAAAACATGAAACAGTAGCTCTGGAAAATTCTCGTTTTTGATATTTAGGGCTTCATTTTCTTCGATTTATTAAAACAAAAATCACTTTACCTGAGTTTTGACGTTTTGAAAATGACTAATTGAAATAGTATTTGATTCCTTTGCAAGAAATGACAGCCGATTCTGTTTTAATAAATGACAGAACTCTCAATTCTACAGAAAAACACATTATCGCGCACGCAAATTAAACCGTGGTTATATTAATAGCGCCTTATCGAGCGAGCAAAGTTGTTTGTACACGAAAGAGACAAACTAAACTATTTATTCAATTTGCTCGTTGCCAAGATGCCTGCGATAGCAAAGTCCTTGGAAGAAAAAGATTAACTCTGAAGGAGACAGTTTAGAAAAGCTTTGTAAATTTTAATCAAGTGTGTTGTCATTTTGTTTAAATAAAGAGGGTTATTGCCATTTTCCCCCTAGTTTTAAGCTCAAAGATTATGCAATAAAAAAGTAATTTAAAATATAGAAATCGAGAAGATACATGTATCTTTTTTCTTCCTCCGGTATTTAAAATTCGAAAATGAATGAATTTTATAATTATCTTCCCAGGTGAGAAATAATTAGTCTGGGTAAAAATCTAACTTGAATTATTCAACTAAGACAAAATCCTTTAAAAGCCAAAAATATTGTTTATGGGCACAAAGTCAACCGTTTCCGGAGAAATTCTGAATTTCATTCGGACATTCATTAGCTAACAATCTTGTCTATGTTTCCGGAAAATTCATGCGTGAATAATACATAAAAAATACTATAGAAAAGTTACTCTTTTCCTCAGGAAAAATCGTTTAAAAGAGGGCATTGTATTTTTTTGCAACGGAGTTTTATCTTTGTAAAATGAAATATGTACATCTTTGTTTTTTTTTCTTTCCTTCATCAAATTGTATGAAGTTTGTCTAATGCAAATTCGCAAGCTTTGAAGAGTAGAGTCATTTCTTTGTTTCTTTATTTTTCACATAGTGTACAATAAAAGTAAATAAACAGGACTGAAAACCGCCCAAACATAAAAAAAATGTTTGTTGAGAAAACGTCTCGAAAAACGTGTCGTCTCTGCGAAACTCATAAACGCAAAATTATCGATGTCAAGGTTGTTATGGTAACGGTGGTGAAAGGCTTGAGAGAGGGGGAGGATTCTTGTCTTCGATGAAACTTACTTTCCGGTAATCATAAAACACGTCACAAGGCATCGAGGCTGTACAAACAGTGATGAATAGCCTGTTTATTCTTGCAGAAGTATTTATAAAGCCCCTATACCCTTTTAGTACATTTATTGTTGAATTTATATATATAGCAGAGCAGGAGGCTCTAAGTTTAAGTTTTTTGTTTTTTCTCAGCGAAGATCAACCGAAACGAACAGTGCCGCTCTTGAGGGGAAATGAAAGCCTACAGAACCGCTTATCTGTTGAAATCATTATAAACTCGTTGACAAACAGCTGGCCTCCAAACGTCGTACCCAGTCAACCAAAATAGAAATCCGATAATATCGACAATTGGTACAAAGAGACGGACCATTCGTTTGAACAAGAAAGAAAAAGTCGGCCAACAACACAGAGGACATTTCACGAAAAGCCAACCAATTCAGCTCATTTATTGCTCACGTGAAGGTTCAACTGACCATCGCGAGGTCAATCAAAACAATTTGAGCAAGGAAAACTCGTGTTTCCCCTCTGTTAATAACACCTAAAGTCATTGGTCCGCGCCGACTTCAGCATCTTTTAAATTTCTTCTTTCCACTGTGCGTGGGAGACAAGTTAATGGCAATGAACGTGGTCTAAAACAGCAAGCACTTCGGAAAAACTCGACGCGTCCCTTTGCCGCACCGCCTGGTGACGACTTGTTTTTCAGGAACTGTCGTTTAGAACGTCAAGTGAAAACAGTATCACTTTCAGTCGTGCTTTTTAACCCAAACAGATTTTTGGCTCACGAGCAGGATTTTGCAATTAAACAGAACAGGGCAACAAAAAATATTGTTGTCTCTTTGTGCACATTAGTGGAAAAACCTCGGCGTTAATTCGCTTAATTGATAATCTGCCAAAGTGAAGGAAGCGCTCTTTAGCCGGGAGAATATAAAAAGGTTGTCAAGAACTACCTACGGCGAGGGCTTACCTGAGGAAAAGGACGTTCATCGTGTTTCGTCAACGTCTTGAAACTAAGTCGTGAGAGAATTTGCAACTTTCTGTCATTCAGAAGATCGGATTGCTTAATTCGGATAGGAGACAAGTGGAAAAATAATCTGGCCGACCTTAAAAACTGTCAAGAAGAAAATACACTGTAGTTTTGCACGTCCAAGAGAAGTCATCCCCAAAGAAAGACCACGCAGATAAAGAAATCAAAGCGTTTAACCGTTGCGCAGGACGGGGATTTGCGTAAAGGACAGATTAACGGTTGAATATTTCCAGTTCAAGAGAGAGAGAACTCTTCACAGACATTTAAACTAGATAACCTTAGGAGTTTAATCCCAATCTTTGGACCACGCAGAGAAGCTTGAATCTGTTAAATTAAGTCGTAGTCATCGTGGTAATCTACAAGCAAGTCAAAACAAACTTCACTAGTGTGCATTTGGATGGCATTTTAGTGAATATAAAGTAATATCGCAGAACATGGAAAACAACGGCACCCTCCCTGATTCGTACTTCAATGCGGTTTTCGACAGCTTTCTCATCCTTCTCAGCGTCGCTGTAATAGCCGTCAATTTGCTGGTCATCTCGCTGTTTGTTTGTCGAGAATATCTGCAAACGAAGACCAACAGTTTGTTAATCAGCCTCGCTGTATCCGATCTATTGGTCGGCTTGCTCGGGATACCAATGAATGTGATTTGTAACGCCTTGCTCGATGTCGGGGTGTGCATGGCAGCTGGTCTTATCTATCGTTTCATCGCTGTCTCCACCATCTACCACATTCTACTAGTAACTCTTGAACGCTACATTTATGTAATGTACCCCATGAAGTACATAAATATCGTTACTGTACCGCGTCTACTCACGGTCATAGCCGCAGTGTGGATCTTCTCCCTGTTTGCCGCTCTGATTCAACTCGCCTGGCTAGACCCTTCAAACTTTTTCTACCAAACGAAAACCCCTGAAGAGATCAGGTTCGATGTGGGATACCACATCTTTGGAAGCGTTTTCTGCTTCTTTCTCCCCGCAATAATAATGGCCTACAGCTATGTTCGCATGTTTCTGGTCATTCATCGACAAATTAAAGAGATCCAAGGGTTGTACAACACTCGCAGTGCTGGACACGCAAATCAAAAAGCACCCATCGCCACTGAAGCACGAGCCTTGAGTATTTTCGCCATAATGCTTACAGTCTTCATAATTTGCTGGCTTTCCTTTTACGTAAGTGGTTTTCTTTTTGCAGTACTGCCCGGATCCGAGCTGGCGCTGTCCGAGAAACTGTTCATGGCGTTTGATTACATTCGTTTCTCGGTGGCTTTTGTCAACCCTTTTCTGTACGCGTTTCTCAAGCGCGATTTCTCACGCGCGCTCAAATCACTGTGTAGAAGGGACGGAGTTCAGCCAGGTGAGCTTGCCTCGACAGCTTCCGGGTCACGCTTTCGGACGCTGACAATCAATTTCTCTTTGTCGAGATCCTCGGACATGTATAGGGATGCATAACTAAGCTTGTCTAGTGAGTGATAGGGTGCCGAGTGGTGTGGAGTCCATCTATCGATGCTACATAACTGGTATTCCAATCTCTTTTTAACGTTTCAAGAGACTAGCAAAACTCGATACGGTTAATCTCGTCTGAAACTGAGCCACAAACAATTTCGACGATGGTGGCAAACAGGATTGTCGCTCCCAAGGAGGGAAGAGAGAAAAATCGACAAAGGAACCAATATATATAGTACATTACGCATTCCGCACTATCCTCGAACAATGCAAATAATGGAAAACAAAAGAAAATATATTTAAAAAGCTAGAGCAAGCCACATTATAAACACTTAAAGAAATAAAAAAGAGGCGATTAATGTAAGAGAAGTCGGAAAAAAAGACCTTCCTCAGTTCCTTGACCACAGTGAAAAAGGGAGAGCTAAAACAAGGGATGGTCCAATGGTGTTCTGTTATCTAGGAGAGTTTGCAGCTGGTGTTCCAAGCGATTTTCATTATTTTAAATTTTCATAATTTACTTTGGAAATATATCACACACATTTGAAGCAAAGCAGCTCCTTAGATCACTGACATTTATGACGGAAGAAAAGCAAATATCGTCAAAACATCACCGGGAAGCCTGCCATTGCTGCCGATTGAAGAAGGCAACTTGGTGAGTGGCCAGTAGAGAATTGTACTTGCACTGGACGCTTCTATTAGATACATAGCTATACATAAACAAAGGATCAGAAATAGATCTTTTATAGCCTTCATAAATAAGTCAGTGAGGTGAATGCGAGTGACTGAAATTTTAATGTTATTTCGTTTGTGTATTATTAAGTGATTGAATTATGCAAAAAGTCACAATTTCCCCGCGAGTGCGGCAAATCGACCCTGCATCAAAACCGATATTGCTCGTTAAAAGTCAGTGAAATCCCGGTTCCGTTGCTTTACAAAAGATAAGCTGCGATTTCTTTGGTTTAAAATCAAATTAATACAAAAACGCGATAAATGGTTGTTAGTCCCACGAAACAAAGGCAATTTTTTATGCTTCCCGGAATTGTCTTTAAATCGCCCATGGTGGCGGCGAAGCAAAGAAGCTGAACAGCTTGTAGCCTCCACGCAGCGAACGAGCTCCCCTAAAAACGCCTGCGTGGGAGGCTAAACAGCTTGGGGCACATTATTAACAAAAGGCATGTTGTACATTTTGCTTTGACTTCATTAATGGCCAGATTTCACAGTAGCTTTCTTAAAGAACAAACGACCTCGTTTTACGAATTTTTCAAGATGGTCAGGAGAAGGGTGCGCACTTGAAAAACACTTTTTCCTAACTATTTTAAGGCACAATTGTTTCGATAAAACAATTGTGGTGTGTTTGAAAATTTCTATTGTTTTCTTTTTACGTAGTTTATTTTTCCTCAGTAAAATTAACTTTGTCGGCGAACAGCCAAAACTCAGATCAAGTAAATGAAAACACAAAAAACACAACGGGGACAGTTTTTAATAGGAGACTACGAAATCCATTTTGTTTTGGTCTTTTCGGCAAGTCTCTACTTGTCATAAGTGATAATGGAAATGTGATGTAGATTAGGTGCTTTAACGTGTTTGTTTTAGGCTTAACAATGGACAGCGTAAATTAAAGGATTAGAACTGATCTCCACATCTATTATTTTTAAAAGCAAAAAATGAGGGGGTAAAAAGACGCTTACTCACTGGCAGCTATTAAACTAGAGTGAAGAAGTCACACACATCGCAAATTTAACACAAAACAGAATTTCATTAGCGCTTTAACATTAAATCCTGATGTAAAAGCTTATATATTTATGGCTTTATCCATTTTGCAATCGGATTAGCTGTATAGATAGAGACAGAGCTTCCTATCATCCCAGAAAATCCACAGAGCCAAGTAAAAGTAAAGCGGAAGATTAAAGGAAGTTGTTGGCAAGGACCAATGATATGCCTGAGAAAAGAAGTTCAGTCGGTACCCTCAATTTAAACATGGAATTATGCTTCAATTCTGAATAAAAAAAATTCATGTTATGACTATGAAAATGCATGGTTATCGAGTCCTCCCCCACCCCCGCCACCCCTCGGCTCGGAAATTTTTAAAATTTCTCTAGGACTTTCGAATTTTTCGTAGTTTTTGACAGTTACGTTTCATGCTTTGGCTCTCTTGGGATGTGCATATAAACGCATTTTGTATATTTCAAAATAAAATCGCATTCCTAGTCAGGTTGTAGAAAATGTTCTCCCCGCGTTCTAAGATCAAAGATACACGTTACTTTAACCCTTTAAACCCTAAGATCAAAATTTGAATTCTCATTTGTTGCCCTATTCATTTCCTTGAGAAGTAGTGGGGAGAAGTTGATAAAAATATCAAGCAACTTCAACTTGTGTAACCACGTCCGTAATTCTCATGACCTCTCTGTTTTAACAAAGCATTGATATTACAAGGAGAAATTTGAGACTGACCAACAGGGGCGGATCTAGGGAGGGTGCAGGGGGTGCGCACCCCCCTGAGATGACCTGCGGTTTTCTAATAAAACTGGTATTCTGCAAAAAAAACTATGTGGTTTATTGGTGTTGAAGTAGAGCAAGAGACGAGTGCACCCTCTCCTAAAAAAAATCCGGGATCCGCCCTTGACCAACCAGCATGTGTTGTGGAAAAACAGAATAAAAGAAAATTTAACATTGTAAGAGAATGTTATTCAGCTCACTCGTAATAATAAGGCGATTCACAGGCTTACTGCCCAACGTTAACAAAGAGCGGAATGGATCTAGTCACTGGCATCGAGTTACCTTCCCATGCTCCTTTGGGTCATCGAAAATTTGGTCTCGCGTGACGTGCACGCGAGGAGAGTAAGCGAAACATTAAATTATTGGAAGTGAAGGCTATTGTTGGCCAGGCCAAATATTTTACATCTTGTTTGATCTTTCCACGTAGGACAAATCTGGTTATTTGCACGCTGTGACAGCTGACTTCAACAGAAACAAAGTCCTTTCTTGAACGACAAACATGGCTTTTATTTAATTCAAACAAATATCCTTCTCGTTTTGTAAAAAACGTTATTGGGTAATCCATTAAGTAAATACACAATTCAAATATACCATGCACCTGAATGAACATTGAGAACATCGAAATATACAACGGTTGGCTTTCAAGTACGTTTTTAATTAAAAAAAATTGTTCGTATTCATTAAAATGACCTCTTTAGCTCGTAAGTTTTATTTTCCCAATACAGGTCATGTGATAATACCCTTGAGAACTGTTCCTTTCAAATTTCATCTAATTCACGTGCACATCTGCGCATAATTTATGAAAAGACAAAGGGGTTAAGTTGCCGGGGAACTCTATTGGGAAAACAAAACATACAAGCTAAGGAGGTCTATTGTAAGAGAGAAATTAACCATTTGCACATCTCCCATAATAAACCTTGTTTGCCCCTCAAACTTTTGCATGAGCATCGTGTTCAATTTCCCTTGGACCGCTGTAATCCCCAGGAGTAAACAATAGTTACGTAAAACTTTGCGGGCGAACGAGATGTATTCTTGGAGATGTGCAAATTGCGAATAGCCTCATTCCCAAGACAAGCATAAAGTTTGCGTGTACTAAGTATTAAGTTGTGCGCACCGAGTTTTGGGACTTAATCGCTGCGTACAAAAAGTGACTTCTCATTTTAAGTTTAGATTTATTTCAAGATAAATTTGCAATAAATATCAAAAGAGATTAATAAATAGAATTACAACCTATTCCAGACCATAATGTCGACCGGGTAGCAATCTTTCTGACCCCAGTTGGTCAAAAGGTGGAGAGCTCGATGCACTGGAAAAATCTCTAACCATTGGTAAACTCAGCTGTGGTTTCCCTGATAACTTATTCAGTGGACAGCGATTTATCTGGGTTGTTTAAGCTGGGTTAAGATATCCTAGGGTTTGTGCGAAATTTGAATTCAGATATGAAAGTTTTAAAAGCAAACTCAGGTTTAATTCACTTTGTTTTCAATTTTTATGATTGAATGCTCTAGAAAGAATAGAGAAAATTATCCGAGAAAATACTTTTGAACAAAAGAAAAAGAAACCCGGGTTAAAATTTAACACTAAGCTACCGCCAGTAGGTACTGATGGTCGAGCACCGTAGCGGGCAGTAAGCAGACTCGTACCCAGTCGCTATTTATGCGTTTTTGGGGTGAGAGAAGATTGGAGGTTAGGTTGAGGCGCGCGGGGTCTTATGGGAAGGTACGAAGGAAAAATACGAAGGAAAAATAGCTGTACCTTCCCATGAGACCGAGCGCGCCTCAACCTAATCCTTAATCTTCTCTCACCCCAAAAACACAGAAATAGCGACTGGGTACGAGTCTGAGCAGTAAGATCTGCCTCTCTGCTTGCTACGCCCCTATCCTCTCGCCCCCCAACTCGATATCCTGGGTCACAAACCAGAACATGGATACAAATTCACAAATATATCCACAGACTTGTTTGGGAACGTGTTAGGGGACGGTTACGGCTCTCCTATGTTCTAGAATAAATCTATTAGCCACCACGTATAACAACATTTAAACCATGTAGGGCGTACACGCTTGTTTATATAACAACCATAAAGACCTTTGTAAGACGGAAACTTCTCTGACAGTGATCAGTGGCTGGATGGTCTGAGCGAGCTTCACTTGCCTGTCTTTAACTTATCACTCAATCAGACAATTACTACTATAATATTGCCGTTTAGTAAGTTCGGTTCCATAAATTTTCAGATGTTAGAGTATTTAACCCTCAATGCATTTTGCGTAGGAGTGAATGAAATTTTACTTTATGTTAATAACAAAGAAAACTGACTTTCCTGGCGGTGTAAGCATGACTAACTTTATCAAAAGGACGTGGTCACGAGTAAAGGATCCTCTTCTGCTCCTGTTTTGCATTTTACGTCCTTGTCACTCTCTGCTCCTTTGCTTTCAGGCTTCTGTGGCAGAAGAGAAGGTATATATTTAAGGCTACGTCGAAACTATATCGGATAGCTTTTGGCGCCGACATGA